ATGAAAAGCCAGATATTGAATGGTGACACCTACGGATCTTGTCACAGGGCATGATTTTGAGAAGGGACGCCTCCAGATGGTGTCATGGGGCCAGATATTGAGGAGGGACACCTACAGAAGGTGTCACGGGGCCAGATATTGAGTAGTGACACCTACAAATGGTGTCACGGGGCCAGATATTTAGAAGGGACACCTACAGATGGTGTCACGGGGCCAGATATTGAGAAGGGACACCTACAGAAGGTGTCATTGATCCAGATATTGAGAAGGGACACCTACAGATGGTGTCATGGTTCAAGATGTTGAGAAGGGACACCTACGGATGGTGTCATGGGGCCAGATATTGAGAAGGGACACCTACGGATGGTGTCATGGGGCTAGATATTGAGAAGGGACGCCTACAGAAGGTGTCATGGTTCAAGATGTTGAGAAGGGACACCTACGGATGGTGTCATGGGGCCAGATATTGAGAAGGGACACCTACAGATGGTGTCACGGGGCCAGATATTGAGAAGGGACACCTACAGATGGTGTCACGGGGCCAGATATTGAGAAGGGACAGCTACAGATGTTGTCACGGGGCCAGATATTGAGAAGGGACACCTACAGATGGTGTCACGGGGCTAGATATTGAGAAGGGACACCTACAGATGGTGTCATGGAACCAGATATTGAGAAGGGACAGCTACAGATGGTGTCACGGGCCAGATATTGAGAAGGGACACCTACAGATGGTGTCATGGGGCCAGATATTGAGAAGGGACACCTACAGATGGTGTCATGGGGCCAGATATTGAGAAGGGACACCTACAGATGGTGTCACGGGGCCAGATATTGAGAAGGGACACCTACAGAAGGTGTCATGGAACCAGATATTGAGAAGGGACGCCTACAGATGGTGTCATGGGGCCAGATATTGAGAAGGGACACCTACAGAAGGTGTCATGGAACCAGATATTGAGAAGGGACGCCTACAGATGGTGTCATGGAGCCAGATATTGAGAAGGGACACCTACAGATGGTGTCACGGGCCAGATATTGAGAAGGACACCTACAGATGGTGTCACGGGGCCAGATATTGAGAAGGGACACCTACAGATGGTGTGACGGGCCAGATATTGAGAAGGGACACCTACAGAAGGTGTCATGGAACCAGATATTGAGAAGAACCTAGAAGGGTGTCATACAGATGGTGAGAAGGAACCCTAGATGGTGTCATGGGGCCAGATATTGAGAAAGGGACACCTACAGATGGTGTCACGGGGGCAGATATTGAGAAGGGACGCCTACAGATGGTGTGTCATGGAACCAGATATTGAGAAGGGACACCTACAGAAGGTGTCATGGAACCAGATATTGAGAGAAGGACACCTACAGAAGGTGTCATGGAACCAGATATTGAGAAGGACACCTACAGAAGGTGTCATGGGCCAGATATTGAGAAGGGACACCTACAGATGGTGTCACGGGGCCAGATATTGAGAAGGACGCCTACAGATGGTGTCATGGGGCCAGATATTGAGAAGGACACCTACAGATGGTGTCATATTGGAAGGGACATGGAGAAGGGACACCTAGATATGTCGCGAGAAGGGACACCTACAGAGAAGGTGTCTGTGACGAAGATGAGAAGGGACACCTACAGATGACTTGACAGAAGGGTGTCACGGAACCAGATATTGAGAAGGGACACCTACAGATGGTGTCATGGAACCAGATATTGAGAAGGGACACCTACAGATGGTGTCACCAGGGGCCAGATATTGAGAAGGACACTTACAGATGGTGTGACGGGCCAGATATTGAGAAGGGACGCCTACAGATGGTGTGACGGGGCCAGATATTGAGAAGGACACCTACAGATGGTGTCATGGGAGCCAGATATTGAGAAGGACACCTACAGATGGTGTCACGGGGCCAGATATTGAGAAGGACACCTACAGATAGATATTGAGAAGGGAACACCTACAGATGGTGTCATCATGGAACCAGATATTGAGAAGGGACACCTACAGATGGTGTCATGGAACCAGATATTGAGAAGGGACGCCTACAGATGGTGTCATGGGGCCAGATATTGAGAAGGGACGCCTACAGATGGTGTCATGGAACCAGATATTGAGAAGGGACAGCTACAGATGGTGTCACGGAGCAAGATATTGAGAAGGGACACCTACAGAAGGTGTCACGGGGCCAGATATTGAGAAGGGACACCTACAGATGGTGTCATGGGGCCAGATATTGAGAAGGGACGCCTACAGATGGTGTCATGGGGCCAGATATTGAGAAGGAACAGCTACAGATGGTGTCACGGAGCAAGATATTGAGAAGGGACACCTACAGATGGTGTCATGGAACCAGATATTGAGAAGGGACGCCTACAGATGGTGTCATGGGGCCAGATATTGAGAAGGGACACCTACAGATGGTGTGATGGGGCCAGATATTGAGAAGGGACGCCTACAGATGGTGTGACGGGGCCAGATATTGAGAAGGGACGCCTACAGATGGTGTCACGGGCCAGATATTGAGAAGGGACACCTACAGAAGGTGTCATGGAACCAGATATTGAGAAGGACACCTACAGATGGTGTCATGGAACCAGATATTGAGAAGGGACACCTACAGAAGGTGTCACGGAACCAGATATTGAGAAGGGACGCCTACAGATGGTGTCACGGAACCAGATATTGAGAAGGGACACCTACAGATGGTGTCACGGGGCCAGATATTGAGAAGGGACACCTACAGATGGTGTCACGGGGCCAGATATTGAGAAGGACGCCTACAGATGGTGTCGCGGGGCCAGATATTGAGAAGGGACGCCTACAGATGGTGTCATGGGGCCAGATATTGAGAAGGGACACCTACAGATGGTGTCACGGGGCTAGATATTGAGAAGGGACACCTACAGAAGGTGTCATGGATCCAGATATTGAAAAGGGACACCTACAGATGGTGTCATGGTTCAAGATGTTGAGAAGGGACACCTACGGATGGTGTCATGGGGCAAGATATTGAGAAGGGTGTCACCTACAGATGGTGTCACAGGGTGACCAGATATTGAGAAGGGACACCTACAGATTGTGTCACAGGCCAGATATTGAGAAGGGACACCTACAGATGGTGTCACGGGGCCAGATATTGAGAAGGGACACCTACAGAAGGTGTCATGGAACCAGATATTGAGAAGGGACGCCTACAGACGGTGTCATGGAACCAGATATTGAGAAGGGACGCCTACAGATGGTGTGACGGGGCCAGATATTGAGAAGGGACGCCTACAGATGGTGTCACGGGGCCAGATATTGAGAAGGGACACCTACAGAAGGTGTCATGGAACCAGATATTGAGAAGGGACGCCTACAGACGGTGTCATGGAACCAGATATTGAGAAGGGACGCCTACAGAAGGTGTCATGGAACCAGATATTGAGAAGGGACAGCTACAGATGGTGTCATGGAACCAGATATTGAGAAGGGACACCTACAGATGGTGTCATGGAACCAGATATTGAGAAGGGACACCTACAGATGGTGTCATGGAACCAGATATTGAGAAGGGACAGCTACAGATGGTGTCACAGGGCCAGATATTGAGAAGGGACACGTACAGATGGTGTCATGGAACCAGATATTGAGAAGGGACACCTACAGATGGTGTCATGGGGCAAGATATTGAGAAGGGACACCTACGGATTGTGTCACATGGCCAGATATTGAGAAGGGACAGCTACAGATGGTGTCATGGGGCCAGATATTGAGAAGGGACACCTACAGATGGTGTCATGGAACCAGATATTGAGAAGGGACACCTACAGATGGTGTCATGGAACAAGATATTGAGAAGGGACAGCTACAGATGGTGTCACAGGGCCAGATATTGAGAAGGGACACGTACTACAGATGGTGTCACCAGATATTGAGAAAGGGACAGGTACAGGTGGTGTCAGATATTGAGAAGGGACACCTACAGATGGTGTCATGGGCAAGATATTGAGAAGGGACACCTACAGATGGTGTCATGGGGCAAGATATTGAGAAGGGACACCTACAGATGGTGTCACAGGGCCAGATATTGAGAAGGGACACCTACAGATGGTGTCACAGGGCCAGATATTGAGAAGGGACACCTACAAATGGTGTCAATGGGCCAAGATATTGAGAAGGGACACCTACAGATGGTAGCTACACCCCTGCTCTGTGCTGTGGACACCCGAGCGAATCATCGCCTGAATCATCTACGTTGGACGTGGTGTTACGGTAACCTGTAGGGTGGATGTATCGTGGAGCCTAGTGATTAAAGCGTTCCCTCGTCACGCCGAAGACCCGTGTAAAACCCATTTCTGGTGTCCCCCGCCGTGATATTGATGGATTGCTGCTAAAATTGGCGTAAGACTTAACTCAATAACTCACCCACGGTAACAAGTTCTACGCAATATTTGTGACTTTAAATTTAATTTATATTCAAGTAAATTCATATTTACCTTGTACTTTCTTTTGTTTGTCGGGTTATATCGAAATCAGCTTGAAATACTAGGCTACTCTTTTGTTTCTCTCCTGCCTGCCCCCTTTCCCATCTCTCCCGAACAACGGAACATGTGCTCGTAACATAATATTTCATTGTTACATATTTCATTGTAAATATAAGCATCAACACCAGAAACCGACCAGCCACGATGATCCCACCAAACTATATCATTCAAAGAGGCGTGAAAGACAAATTAGCGGTTTAATTAAGAACGGGACACTGAATATGACTATGACACCAGGTGTTAGCAAATAGGGTTATAAACCATGTCTTGAACGACTGAACAAATGTACAGGATCTACGCTCCCAATCTACCAATCAACAACGGAGAACGTCCTGCTATTCTTTTCGATCCAGATGTTGATGAGATTTAACGTGTGTTTTCCGACACGTATTTCGCACACGGGCGATCTCACAAAGCAGAATTTATATTATCGTGACACGACTATAAACATACGCATGCAACAAACTCAATTTTATGAAATCTTTTATTACACAAACAGTAAAAAAATAATTCACATGAGCAATGCTTGACAGTGTAAACTCAGATTAGCTGCTGGTCCACAGTGGCTCACTCTGAAATATAAAACACAAATAGTTAATAAACTGATACATGCATACTTAAACATAAATAGTTAATAAATATATAATATGATACACACATACTTGTCCCAAGTAGTGCAGACTCGTGCTAGTGTTTTCTTTTGTGCTGGTGACAAATTGTTCTTCGTCAAACACTTGGTCAAACACTTGGTCCAAGAAAATGTCAATTTCTTGGTTGTATAATGTGTCCAGTTTGTCATACATGCTGGTAGAAGGGTTTGTCTCAATTACACTATGTTCTGATTATTTTAGGAATTTTGTACATAATGTAATAATTACAGAACGAAACATAAGCATGTTGTGTGTATGATATTATGTGTGATTGGGCGTATGCGTGCGCGCGCGTGTGTGTGTGTGTATGAAATGGGTTATAACACCAGTGAAAGTTGGGTGTCAACAACACAGTGTATTCTGACATTAACAACGAAACCCTGTTAATCCGGACGCTAGGATTTCAGCGACAGTCCTGATTAAATAGGAAAACCGATATTGAAAATGAGAGATAACTATAATTTTCATCATGTGTTTCTCTTTTCTGCAACATTATTTACAGGATCATGCCCAGCAGCGTTTCGAAAGATGAAGTTGCCGGATTATCAGGGTCCGTAAATAACAGTGAGTGAGTTGAGGTTTACGCCGGGTTTTTTTTAAGCAAGATTCCAGCAATATCACGGCGAGGGACAGCAGAATGGGCTTCACACATTGTACCTATGTGGGGAATCGATCCTGGGTCTTCGGCGTGACGAGCGAACACTTTAACCACTAGGCTACCCACCGCCCTTGTAAATAAGTGGGTTTCACTCGATGTGAGTCCTTAATACTCACCAACCCGAGGTTGTGGTCTCCATTGTGCTGTTGCTCTGCATGTAGGTCTCCTCGAACCTCTTGGCCTGCATCACGTAGGCCTTGGCTCCGCCGCACATCGACTTGACGAGACCACCCATAAAGAGTTTCTTCTGCTGTTCGTGGTCCATCTTCTTGATCTTCTCAGCTAGGCTGGCCATGTTTCCGGTCTCCATGGCTTCTACGGCCTCCCTCATTCCCTCACCCATACCACCGATCATGTCTGTGTCGTCGTTTGTCCTCAAACCCATGAACATCCTGGAACCGTACAACAATGTCCGTAATAGTGAGTGAGTGAGTTTAGTTTTACGCCGCAGTTAGCAATATTCCAGCTATATGGCGGCGGTCTGTAAATAATCGAGTCTGGACCAAACAATCCAGTGATCAACATCATGTGCATCGATCCAAGTAATTGGGATACGAGGACATGTGTCAACCAAGTTTGACCCCCCGATCCCGTTAAGCATGGGTTGCTGATTATCAATTCTAACCCGGATCTTCACGGGTCATGTCCGTAATTAACTGCCTGGGAAAGGTATGGCCATAATGGACACTGAGAATTACAAACGTTATCAAAATATAAATAGGCTGAAAATAGTCGCCACATCAGTGCAAACACTCCAAAACACATGCCCGTATCAAACACATCACGATAACGATTTCTTGTTTGTTTAAATGTTTGCTGTCATCCAACATAGTTGTAGCTTGTAAACACAGTTGCGGTACTTAACTTAAGCTTAAACATGAAATTATATTTTGGAAGTGGAAACCAATTTCTTTGGTATTTCCTACTTTCGGCCTGTTGCAATTTCTGTAATTCAGTAATTCACAGACCTGAGTTAGGTTTACGCTGCACTCAGCAATATACCAGCTATATGACGGTGGTCTGTAAATAATCGAGTCTGGATCAGACAATCCAGTGATCAACAGCATGAGCATCGAGCTACGCAATTGGGATGCAATGACATGTGTCCACCAAGTCGGCGAGCCTGACCACCCGATCCCGTTAGTCGCCTCTTACGACAAGCATGGGTTGCTGAAGACCAATTCTAAACCGGATCTTCACGGGCTGGTTTGTACGTCATCGATGCACAGACCTGAAGGCACTGATGGCGCTCTTGAGTGAGTGTGAGTGAGTGAGGTTTTACGCCACTTTTAGCAATATACCAGCAACATCACGGCGGGGAACACCAGAAATCGGCTTCACACATTGTACCCATGTGTTGAATCGAACCCGGGTCTTCGGCGTGATGATTGAAAGCTTTAGACACTGGTCTCCCCACCACCCCCCAGCGTACACGCGGCGTAAAACAATTCTTACTCACTATTATCACTCATTACCACCCTTATAACCAACATCGCAACCACTATGATCAGCATCTGCAATACCAACTTCATCAACACCATCATCATCACCCCTACTGCACACCCTCTCACACCAATCAATCAACCGATGACCTTAATGATTCTTCTTACACACATCAAAGATCCTTCTCTACCTCCATCTAAGACTCATCATCATTCTAACCACCATCACCACCACAACTTACTTGTTCATCTGTGCGTTGACCTCTCCACACTGGCAAAGCTGAAGGAAGGCGTGTGTGAGCTGGAAGGCGAACTTGTTCTTCTGTTCCTGGAAGGACTCGATAAGCTCCTTGAACTCGCCCTCCTTAGCCTTCTTCTTCTTCATCTCCTCATGCTTCTGCCACAGCTCGTACATCTTCTTCTTCTGCTCCATTGCTGCTTCCTCCTTCTGCTGCTGCATTTTCTCCATGAACATTTGGTACTTCTTGAACTTCTCCATCTTCTCCTTCATCTCCATCTTCTTTTTCATCTCCTGCATCTTCTGCATTTCTTGGAACTTCTTCATCATGGAATATTGCTTCATCTGAGCTTCTTCCTTGCTCTTGCAGTCGCCATCGCCTTCGAAGTGCTCTTTCTCCTCTTCCCGCTTCTCCATGAATTCCTTCATCTTCTCGAACATGTCTCCGGACTCTCCGTCCATTCCTCCCATGAAACCGCCCATCTCTTCGCTGGATCCACCATGGCACAGCGCCAGAGGGAGCAGGCACACTAACAGAACAACCTTAGGAAGCATGTTTGATATCTGCAAGAACCACAAAAGGCCATACTTGAAATAATTCTTAACAAGTCTAAATAACTTCTTTGAGTGGTATTTAAAAGATGGTATAATGAAGAGAAATATTTTTTTATGGATAGACACTTTTTTAAATGCCACAGATGCGACGCTTCGGTTTAGGTGCTAACATCACTTGCTTGTTAGCGGGGTGATGGGGTAGCCCAGTGGTTAAAAGCGTTCGCTGGTCACGCCCGGGTTCAATTCCCCACATGGGTGCAATGTGTAAAGCCCATTTCTGGTGTCCCCGCCATGATGTTGCTGGAATATTGCTAAATGCGTGGTAAAACCATACTCACTCTCACACGTGATTGTTAGCACCTACGCCGAAACGTCGAATCTATTTATGAGTTGCCTATCCATAAAAACTGTTAATCTTCAATTCTAAATAAATCTTAAAATGCAATTTTGTCTTCTTTTTGTTCACGAAAGGTTTCTGACTGGAGGTCAAGTGTCTTCCTGTGTATTCATAGCATGGTCCCTCAAACTTTATTAGTCACGTCGCTATTTGATACTTTTGTGAATGTGTAATATAGGTGAAATGGGGTTTAACGTCGTACGTAAGAATATTTCACTCATATGACGACGTGCATGCGTGTGAATGTGTATGTGTGGCTGCTTGTACTAGCCCAGACTTAAGCTGGTTTTATAGTGTAAGCTCAGTGAGATACTGTGCCGCAGTGAAGCATGAATATCCCTCTCAGACACATTATACTGATTCCGAGCCAACCAGTCCTTGTTGTACCCATTAATGCCGAGCGCCAGGCAGGGGCCAACAAGTGCGATATTTTAACGTCATTTGGTATGACGCGGCCGGGGATCGAACCCGCGACCTTCCGCTCTCCGTATTCTGAAGAAGGTATATTGCATATACCTATGTACTAATGGGTTAATCTATCTTTTAAAAACGTAAAGAGCAAGCAAGACATGTTTACATTTCCCCGAACACCTGGTGTCATCACTTATTTTCAGTGACCCATTCATGTGATTTTCACAGCTAATTTCCCCTTTACAAAAACGGAATTTGTTTCTGAAGATAGCCTGGCATTCTTTTGACTGACTTACTGTAATAATGATTTCAAACAAATGCAAAATGTACCCATAACATTATTACCATTGCTTTTCTGTTGAAAACCTGAGGCTGTTTGAGAATCTTTTGCAAAATTCAGTATATCTATAACTCAATTATGCTCTTAAATATGTTTGAATGCTGTCGCCATATTTTAACGTCTTTTAGTATGAAGCGGTCGGGGATCGAGCCCGCGACCTTCCGCTCTCCGGGCGGACGCTCTAACCACTACACCAGGGAGGCGGTATCTCCGCCATGAACTGTGCCGAAAGTTAAATATTTATAAAACACCAACACTAGAAAACAACCACCGTTCTTCAAAGAGTCCGCTGGGTGTTAAAGTCAAAACATGGGGAAACATTATCAGATTATTTGAAATTCAGTGATACTAGAAAAGAGGAAACATTTAATTGTGGTAACAAAATATACATATTTACCAACAAACTATACATGTGCATTGAACAATAACAAAACCTATAGCTACTGTTCTTTCAGTCGTCGACGCTATTCTTTTTTAAGAATATTATAATATAAAGACGAAAAGATTGCTTCATGAACAACTTTGTGTCTTTCAAATATCACAGTCTATAACAAAGTGTTTTTCTACACAGGAAGACAACAATCAAACCATAAGCTGCAATATTTTGTAAAACCATCATTGATGCACCATAGTCAAAGTCTTCACATGAATCAAATAACTAAATAAACAAAACATAAATTCTACAAAGATTTTCTTTAACCCCAACAGGGGCATAAAGTAAGTTAATATTTGTGAATCCAATATGGACGAATAAACGAAACAAAATCGAACGCTATTTACGAAACTTGTATGAAACAGAAAAAAAATGTTTCAAAGAGTAAAAAATCTATCAGTTCCAACAATGCTTAGCTTGTACTCACCACACAGGGAGCCGTCCTGGGTATGACCGACTGAGAGGCAACCACCTGTATATATACCCTGACCTAACGGATATGAATAAAGATGAGGTAAAGGGGGTGTCGCCAGTGGAACAAGTTGACATGTGTACACATTGACTCAGAACACGGCTGAGGACTACCTGAGACGGGTAACTTCCATTGAAAGTTCATAATTCAGGTATATTTAAATTCAACAGTTCAGTCACGATTATTTCTGTATTTCGACATTCGAGGAACCCTCAGTTACACGCCGGGGACAACACATGATTGGGTTGGGCGGCGTCTAATCTGCCTTCTTTCAGCTCGTTCTTAAGTCAGCTCTGGGGATGGTCGTGTAAGACGAACCCCTGAAATACTTAGAACAACTAGAACTGTCTAGAAGATATATAGAACCACCTGCAATAAGTAACTAACATACAACCGTTCATAGAAGGGTGATTTTAATATATATGTTCGTTCTATTTCTTTCGTAAAGCCAGACGCAGTACAAGTTCCAGTGATAATCCCAACGCTGTGGAGATAAGGCGGTGTCTTCCCATTGTGACTACGACCCAGTATGACTCCTCCTCCAACACACGAATTGAATGGTTGAGTGATTTTCAATTATTAGTGTCACCCCTTCCCTGTGACACTTGCAACAGCCCTAGACGCTAGGTCTTGCCACTATGACTATGGTAGTTTGCATTACGTGTTGAACATTAAAGGAAAATGAACGTATATTTCCAGCTGCTTATTTATTAGAAACAAATAAAAATATAAAATAAAACAGTAGAATAACATACACAGTATAGTTACATAGCATTGGACTTAGCATGGCATGAAACATGACTGAATATGGCAAACATATATACTCTCTATTTGCACCATTCAAAGTGCTTAAAATATGCAACTTAATTATACATGTATATGAATATTTGTATTTACATGTATCTGATATAAATTATCTGTAAATTAATTTAATTACTGACTGACTGACTGAGTTTGGTTTTACGCCGCTTTTAGCAATATTCCAGCAATATCACGGCGGGGGACACCAGAAATGGGCTTCACACTTTGTGCCCATGTGGGGATTCGAACCCGGGTCTTCGGCGTGACGAGCCAACGCTTTAACCATTAGGTTACCCCACCGCCCCAATTTAATTACTGATTTGTGCGATTGCAGTATCACATGTGCACTAATCATAGCATGATTCGCATTACTTTGATGAGTAATTCATTCAACATCAGTGTTTTAAGTCACTATTTCAATATCTTTCAACAACGCTTAGAAGATATATGAGACAGATCCCAAAGTGGTGCCTTTTGCTATTTTCAGATTTTGGGCATTTTTATTTTTCTTAGTTTCTATGGAAACGATTCCAACTTAGTCTCAAAAGGGAGGGGTGGGCTTCGTTTCCGGAGCACAACTAAAAAGCCGTTCAATATCTGTCTACAAGATTTGGCAGATATATTGAAGTGGTGCTTTTTGCTATTTGCAGATTTTTTGCATTTATACTTTTTATGATTTCCATGGAAATGATTTGAACTCTAAGTAACTGTCAGATGAGCCTAGCCGAGCCATATCTGTTAAAAATAAAGCAAGATACTTTAGAGATGACTCCTTCTCTATTATTAAACTGAGCCCTTTGGATATGACGTCTTCATCCTGACATCACATAAAGTAAGGGATCGGTGGGGTAGCCTAGTGGTTAATGAGTTCGCTCGTCACGCCGAAGACCCGAGTTCGATTCCCCACATGGATACAATGGGTTAAGCCCATTTCTGGCTGTGCTATTGCTGGAATATTGCTAAAAGCGGTGTAAAAAATAACTCATTTACTCATAAGGAAGGCAAAGTGGTTGCTGTGATCATCAAATATCTGGCGTGCATTGTCACTCACCAACTTCTACAATGCCAAGCAGAACGATACGTGAAGTCAACTCTTACAACCTAGCACCAGTGAACCAAAACAGATCCCGATCCACAAAGCGTTCGTAACTTTACGAGCTGTCGTAACTCTATAGTGTATCATAGGCTTACGAATGTCGTAGCACTACGAACGTTTTGTAGATCGGTTCCAGGGCCTGGGCCCTTATTCTCGAAACGTTCGTAGCCCTAAGAATTCTTAACTTTGATCGTAGCCAATGTGTTAAGAATGGGCTTAAGATGTTCATAGGGCTACGAACGTTTCGAAAATCTAGGCCCCGGGTTGGATCTACATGGGATTTGAGAAAAAATAAATTATGTTCGTTTTTCCAGAGTTGGGTAAACGCATATATATATTTCAATTTAAGGGTCACGTACAGACACACGTGATGTACAAAATGTTTCCCAAACACTTTACAAATTTAGCGTTTGCCAGAAAACGCTGGGGTGTATTTCAATATCACGAAGACAAATAGTACGGACACGATGTTTTAAGTGTACATTTACCGAGACACTCTGGTGTCCTTGAACGTATAATCTCACATATCAGAAGGTAAACATACCGGTATTGTAGCCTCGGTGAGTGAATTTGGTTGGAGGTATTCTAAATGTTATGATGAATCAGTGAGTGAGTGTGGTTTTACGCCGCTTTCAGCACCTATTCCATAACTGATGTCAAAAGATGTCAGATTTCTACCCTTGCCGAAGTTGACTATTGGTGGCGCTACATTTTGGTTAGACTAATGATTCTAGGTCCAAATAAAAATACAAATCGTTTACCGATATCGACATTCAATTCAGAAACTGCTTTGCGGATTCCGTCGATTGTAGTTTTTGTAGAACATGTGAAGCTTTGTCGACAGATATTACAAAATCACTCCATGATTTTAGTCAGGTTTACCCAGAGCAGAATTTATGTCGCTGATGTGGTGAGTGCGTGCGTGCGTAGGTGCGTGCGTGCGTGCGTGCGTGCGTGCGTGCGAGTTGCTCATTAGACAAATAGAAATGACATTAGGACACCAGCACCCGGCTCTCACACAGATTCCATTCCCCGTGAGGTTCTGGTCAAGTACTGGTCTTCATCATCCTATGATTGTCTTCAGAGGTCACTAACGAGTTCAGTCTCACCTACTACGATGCAGTCTTGATGCCGGTCCAAATTTAATTTTCAAATAGTTAAGTGTACGTGTGAAAAGGCTACAACATGGGATAGCACCTCGCATACTGTTGACAAACAGCATGTCATATATGGTAATTCCCTAATAATGTCTCACGAAATGATAAACAGAATTCCACCCTGGTGGCTTTTAAAATCAAAACGGTTCAAGAATCTATATCGAAACGTCACTCTATTCTTACACCGTCATTTAGCTTCATAACGGTTCAAGAATCTATATCGAAACGTCACTCTATTCTTACACCGTCATTTAGCTTCATAACGGTTCAAGAATCTATATCGAAACGTCACTCTATTCTTACACCGTCATTTAGCTTCATAACGGTTCAAGAATCTATATCGAAACGTCACTCTATTCTTACACCGTCATTTAGCTCTAACGGTTCTTACACGTCGTCATTTAGCTTCATAACGGTTCAAGAATCTATATCGAAACGTCACTCTATTCAAGAATCTATATCGAAACGTCACTCTATTCTTACACCGTCATTTAGCTTCATAACGGTTCAAGAATCTATATCGAAACGTCACTCTATTCTTACACCGTCATTTAGCTTCATAACGGTTCAAGAATCTATATCGAAACGTCACTCTATTCTTACACCGTCATTTAGCTTCATAACGGTCAAGAATCTATAAACGTCACTCTATTCTTACACCGTCATTTAGCTTCAAGAATCTATATCGAAACGTCACTCTATTCTTACACCGTCATTTAGCTTCATAACGGTTCAAGAATCTATATCGAAACGTCACTCTATTCTTACATCGTCATTTAGCTTCATAACGGTTCAAGAATCTATATCAAAACGTCACTCCATGCAATCAACAAGAAGTTGTCATCCATAAAGTTGGTATGCTTCTCTGTTGGCTCATCAAAGTTCTAGAATGCCAATCAAACAATCGCTGCGTTTACGTAAAACAACACACGGGATAAATTCTGTATTTCCTTGTTTCGATATACCTCTCTGCGATGCTGTTTGCTAACCAGTTTCAATGTTTCATATCCTCTCTGTATTTTCGTTTTTCTATATTTTTGGTCAATTTCTGCAATCTGATTGTTTCAATAATTGCTAACCATTTATAATGCATCCTGAGACATATTCTCTATATTTTCGTTTTTATTTTATTTTTCGATTTACATCAAATGAATCTAAATGTTCAAATAAATGCTAAAAGTTCCATGCACCATGAACAATGTTCCCGTGAAAACGTTTGACAAACTTATCTCTGCCATGTCTATAACGTCAAACACGTGGAGTTAGTCAAATAATGAAAACATAGCTCCCGAATCACATTGCGAGAGAAACAAGAAGTTTAGGTAAGAACAATATTAGGTGTTTACAAACTATTTGTAAGGCTAATTTGGTTAACCTAATAGGAACGCTTCGTGATCCAGCGACTCCGAGCCTTCAGTCTACCGATGTTTACACCAGGGACTCAAATTGGCTCTTCGCTGTATGTGGATAGAGGAATTACGGGCAAATATCAGACTGGGAGGAGCTGCGTTACCGCAGACACACGCGCACACGAGACGCAGCACCAGTCTGTGTCTTGCACGTGAACGGCTTAAAAACAAGAGTGTGACCGCTAAGATTTCGGAGCCTGGGTGAGAGGATGCGGCCGTTTGTATACACAGGTGGAATACTTAAACAGAATTTTCACGGCAATGAAGAAATCCCGACCCACATAATGACATTGCAAATTACCCAAGGCGTGTCTAATTGCTTCTTTAAGGGAACCGCCGACCCAAAATCTAAAAAATGTTGATAACAATTAAGATTATAAATGAGCAATTTTTTCTGTTAAAACTCTTAACTAACTTCAATAATGTAGGGGAAAATAAAGTGGGCTAATAGGAAACGGGAGTAGCCCTTTAACTTGTCATTCTCTAAAGCACCTTTGCTGTGTTTTTTGTCCTATTCGTTATTTCACCTATTGACTAT